ATCTGTGTATTCAAAGTGGTTAGGATAGATATATAGTCACATTCTCTTAATGAATAGAATGATTTGTTCTAATGGTGTTTGTAAATAGGATATCAAGGGGCTGGTGAGATGGCTCAGTGGTCTAAAGCACCTACTTGGAACAAGCTTAGCAAAGCACAGGGATTGCGGTTCAATCCCCTAGCACCACATGCCAGTCAGCCCCACCCCCTGGTGGGCTGAGCTGGCCACACACACACACAAATAAATTTTTTAAAAAATTGTTAGAAGAATGTATGCAGTGTGTTAGTTATTGAAACTGTCCTAGTGATTTGATTTGAAACTGTCTCATTGCTGTTTATCAATAAAATTATGAAAAAATACGTGTATAACCCCAAAAAAAAATTGTTTAAAAAAATAGGATATCAAGTCCGCATCTTGTACAGCAATTAACCACTAAGAAGAATGTATGCAGTGTGTTAATTATTGAAACTGTCCTACCAATTTGATTTGAAACTGTTTCATAGCTATTTATCAATAAAATTATGGCAAAAATAAAATAAAATATGGATAACAGGCCAGGAATGTAGTTCAGCAGCACAGTACTGTCTGGCAAGAGCAAGGTCCTGAGTTCCGTTCTCAGTACCAAAAAAAAAAGAAAGAAAGAAAGAAAGAAAGAAAGAAAGAAAGAAAAAGAAAATGTGGATAATAAAATATGGATTCACTCATAGGGCTATTGTGAAGATCAAACAAGATCATGGGCATTAAAATGCTTTGTATCCCATAAATGAGTTCTACAAACATTTCCAATTTATTTTAATGGTGTTAAACACAAAGTATGGCTTACATACAGGAGAAGTTCTCATTGGAAGAAGAGGCGAGGATGACCCCATTATGAACAAAGTTGCACATTGCTGCATCCTGTGTCCAGTGCCTGTGTCCTGCCATCATTGTCACCATGCCCAAGAGAAAGGGTGAAGGAGATTATTATGCCCTGTATCTAGATGTTGCCCCCAACCCTCATGTGTTCTTAAGTGGGGCTCTTGGAAGGTAACCTGGTCTAGGGATTATGATGCTGAGATTAATGGTGTGATGCTGAGATAAAGGGTGCCCCACCTTAGGTATGAATGCTACCTGTCCTAAGGGCAGGTAGCCTGGATGGAACATAAAGGACAGAAAGAGGGATTCTGTGGTCATCTGTTGCTTGCTGCTTGCTACTTCTTTGCTGGCTGCCTTCTGCCTACGCTACTTTGCCATGGACTATTTCTTCTTTGTGATGTCCTTCTGCCATTCCACCCTGCCTTGGAGTCAGGCGACCATGGATGGAAATCTCTACAAAACTGAAAGCCAGAATATACTTTTCTTCCTTTAAGTTTGGGTGTTGATTATGTCTCAACAACAAGAAAAATAACTAAAACAGATTTTGGTACCAGGAGTGAGGTCATTGCTGTGACATTGCCTGGCCATGTAGTTCAGGAACCTTTATAACTAGCTTGTGGAAAGAGTCTGGAAAGGTTTGGAGATGCCAGCTGAAGAAGCAGCCCTAGAATAATTTAAACTGTATTTAACAAGAGATTCTGGTAGTTCAGAAGACCAAATGCAGCCAGAAAAGACCAGTCTCAGGAGGTTTTAGTTAGGAACAAACTGAAATAAATCTTTGCTCTTTTAACTTTGGATGTTGGCTATTTTGTCTCAGGAAGGAGAAAAGTAACAAAGACAGAAATGCTAATGGAGATAAAGCCAAGGTGAAGAATGAACCATAAAGATCTGTAAGGTTGTTTGCTAAACCTGCTCCTCCAAAGCCAGAGCCCAGGGCTGGCCAAATAGCCTAGCAGATTAAAGTGCCTGCAAGCAGGCACAGGAGCCAGGGGTTCGATCCCTGGGCCTACCATGCTGGCCCCACCCCTGGGGTGCAATGAGACAGCAATTGAGACTGGGCATGGTGGTGTGCACCTGTAATCCCAGCTCTTGGGAGGTTGTAAATAGGCGGATCACTATGAGTCCAATCTAGTAGTGAGACCCTGAATACCCTGTAGACACTTCCCTAAAATACAAAAACACACAAAACCAGAGCCCAAGCCTAAAAAGGCCCCTGCAAAAAAGGGAGAGAAAGTACCCAAAAGGAAAAATGGAAAAGCAAGGAATAACCCCACAGAAACTGGAGAGGCCAAAACAGACCAGGAGCAAAAAGCTGAAGGTGCTGGAGATGCCAAGCGAAGTGACTGTGTACTTCCTGTGATTGTACAGTTTTAAATACTATTTTTATGAAGTCTCATAAAAATTCTAAAAGTTTGTTCTGCTTTTAAAGCTATGTTGTTAGCACATAGAATGTAACATTGCTGTTTTCTTTTGAGGAAAGATCACATGTCACTAATACAGTGTCTCCAAAGCTGGGTTAATGTGGGGGAAAAACCCTTCCTTGCTAGTTTTAAAATTCTTCCTCTTGGCTCCCTGAAGAAGAGATTCATGATGTTGACACATGTGGCCACCTTTGCACAAATGCCTTTTGGTATGGGACAACTACAGTTCATTTTTATGTTCTCCTTTCCTCTGCCATCAGCATAGACTTTCCGTTAGGCCCAGAGACCTAATGGGACTTGACTCCCCAAAATTGGTGTAACCAGTATGGTAGGCAATTTGGGATACGCTAGTGACACTGAGATGGTGTCCCACAAGAATAATGATTTCCTTTTCCAGACTGTGGATCTTTTTTTTTTGTACTGGGGATCGAACTCAGGACCTTGTGCTTTCCAGGCAGGTGCTTATGCTACTACACTATCTCCCTGGCCCAAGATTGTGGATCATTAGGTTGATAATTCTGCTATTTTCTTTTTTAAAAATTTTTTTAAAAATATTTATTTATTTATTTTGTGTGCGTGTCATCAGCTCAGCCCACCAGGGGGTGGGGGCTGGCTGGCATGTGGTTTTGGGGGATTGAACCACGGTCCCAGTGCTTTGCTTAGCTTAGCTTCTTCTAAGTAGGTGCTTTAGACCACTGAGCCATCTCACCAGCCCAAAATGGAATAAGGATTTTTTTTTGTTGTTCCTCGGTTGCCTTCAGGGCACTATTGGCCAGTGGGAGAGTTGTGAGATTCGAACTCCTGAGCTAGGGCCAGGCCCCCAAGATGTGGAGATGCAGCTCAGAGCGAAGGCCCTGGGTTCACCTTTTTTTTTTTTTGGTGGAACCGGGGATTGAACTCATGCCCTTGCGCTTGCCAGGGAAGCGCTTATTCCACTGAGCCATCTCCCTGGCCCACTGCTATTTTCATTTAATTTCCTGAAAGGATCGGTTTGTGAAAAGTTCTCAACATACTGAGTGTGAAATGTCAACCCTCACTCTAAACTTTCCCTATTCAGAACATCAAATGAAGGTTTTTGATTTTATAGTGGCTTTCTAATTTTTGGTAGTCTATCCAAGGAGGTAGTTTGAAAGTTGTTGTGTACTGTTAATGATTGTGTGCTCATGTCCTGTCTGAAATACAATGATTGTTTATGAAAAGTATCTTTAGTAAGACTAGATACAATTTTTTTTAAGTGTGCTCTTTAAACATTTGAGAAAAGAAAAAAAGAATAGCAACTTTTTCTTGGTGGGTGTATGTGTATGGTACTGGGGATTGAGTTCAAGGTGTTAATCCTACAGCCCCAGACCTTTAATTTTTATTTTGAGACAGGTTCTTACTAAGGAACTAAGTTGCCTATAATGTCCTCTAATTTGTGATCCTTCTGCTCAACTTTTCAGAGTGGTAGGATTATAGGTGTGTGCTACCACACCCAGGTAATAACAATTGTTTGTAAAGTAATTACTTTGTACCATGATAAATGTTTTATCAATATTATCTTCCTATTGACCTATGCTGAATATTGTGGTTTGTCCCCTCCAAAACTCATGTTGAAATTTGATTCCCAGTGCAAATGTTGGTAGGTGATTGGATCTTTAGGAGATGATTAAGTTATTAAGAGGAATTAGTGTGACCTTTGAGGGGTTAGATTAGATATATAGAGAGCAGGTTATCTATAAGCAAATTTGGCT